TGATGATATTCATCATATGACAGACGAAAACTTAATACCTTTTCACCGGAATCGAAGTAGATTACCTCGGAAAAAGTGTCAACATAAATATACCAGTAAAGCCAATCGACAACTGGTCAAGAGGAATCCGTCGTCGTCTTATGGTGGAATCGACATTCGAATCTATTCACCAAACGCTTTCACTCGAAATGGAAGTGAGCTTAACAATTATGAAACAAGCGATTCCTCGAAATCCAACTTTTCTTCTCATAATCTTCTTTCAATTTCCGGTGAAACCAACTTACGACTCCCTTTCAATCGCCACTTTAACATTTTGTAAGGTATTTTGTATCGACAGGTAACTGAAAAGGCATTCATCCGCCTACCAACTTCATAAGTCAGTATTGTAGCGAATGTAGTGACGAACACACACCGGCCAACTGATACAAGATCCCCCACAAAATTACATGAATTGGGGTAAACTCGGCTCCTGTCTACCCCTTGAGGCAGCGAGGCGAGGCCGAGACTTCAGTGAACGGGTGTTGAAGGAAAAAATTGGGCAAAATCGCTGTCGGCCCAGCAAGAAACTGGTAGGCCTCAACGACAATCCTTATTCCTGGCAGCGTTAGGCGAGAAATATACTTAAGATATCCAAATTAAGGAGAATTAGACAAGATGGCCTGTCTGTACGCGATATATGCGAAGAAAAGTTGGGTTTAGAGGAATCTCTTGTTTCATAATTGTTGAGCTTACTCCCATTTCGAGTGAAAGTGTTGGGTGAAGAGTTTCGAAGGTCTATTCCACCAGAAGACGACGGCGGATTCCTCTTGACCAGCTGTCGATTGGCTGTAAGTGAACTGGCTTGGACACTCTGGCTCTAATTTCAACTCATTCGAAAATCCTGCAATCTTCTGCCTCTTCTGTATTCAGAAAAGAATCTATCAATATGATAAATGATTTTGTCGTCGCGCCTATCCGGTTGCGTAAACTCGTCAATTCCCATCTTCTCAACCGCACACACCCACACACACACACACACACACACGTACATACATATATAAATATATACATGCACACATGCATCCACATACAACCACATATGTACATACACAGACACGTGCACGTGCACAGAAAATCTCTTTGGCCTTTTGAGTCCGCTAAGAGGAGGCCACATTCTACTTTTAATGTAGCCAATGTGACTGCCAGGTTGGCTTGTGAAGTGTACAGATGCATTTGCAACACTTGCTCCGCTCACTCCGTCTGCCACAGTTGCCCCACCTCGACCAGACACACCCCTGTCTGCTGGGTGGGTGGACACGAGGCTGACTGACACCCGGTTAGTCTGCCCGGTCTCTTCGGTCAACTTTGCAGCCGTGGCGACCGGAGTCGGCCGCAGTTTGTCTGGCCAACGTTCGAGTGACGAGGCGAGATGAAAAGCCTTGCCACTGACACACCGATTGGCCCCCAAGAATTTGGGTGTACGTGTGTCTATTGCAAGCGTACATGTGTGTGAACAGTGAGCAGAGAACAGAAAGCAGAGGAAAGAGGAGTGAAAGCACGGGGAGAGAGACAGAGACAGAAACAGAAAGGGATTGCCACTGGCCTTTCTGGACGTGTTAGGTCGACGGAAAGTAGAGGAGCAGAGGAGTATAGGGCACTGAAGTCGAGGGCACAACTTTAGTTTTGAGAGAACTCATACGATGAAAGGTCGACGAATCGGATTGACGAAAAAGTCGGCATTGATAGAATAATGGTTTTCAGTCGACTTTGTCAACTGTTTATTTCCTGTTTATATACGAAACATAGCTGACTTGGCATAGATGACGAGTAGACTGTGCTGTTTGGTCCTGTTCAATCGTTGAAAATGGTAATGGAGACAAAACAGCTTGGAGTTAGGCAGGTTTTCGGTCATGCTGAAGAGAACGTTCACAGTGACTAGGTTTTGATACGACGAGTATAACTGGAATAAAAAGTGTATTCGTCCTGAATCGTATGAGGTGGCTAAGGACTGATCGTCACATTCTCTCGCAATGACACGAGGAGATCTGATGAAACCAGTGAATTTCCCTCATGGAACTTTTGTATTGTCAAGGCAGTGGCAGACAATTTTCGGTCTCCCTTTCAGTTTCTAACCCAGATAAGCAAATAAATGATTCGCTCAAGCAAACGGAAAGCTATAAAATTAATTTCCATTTTGAAAGAAAAGTTGATTGGAAGAAATACGTTATGTGGCCTCACAGGCAACCGAAGGAGGATTGCCGCGTAGTACTGACTGTTGTATTATGCAAATAAGTCTTTAGCTCATCATCCTGAGAGCCCGATGAATGTGTACTAAACTTTCGTATTTAACGCCGTGACAGACATCATTAGAGCAAGAATCCATGCTTTACGAGAGAGAGTAAAAATATGCTTAAAAAAAGAAAATTTAGCAGGCTGCAGCCTTAGTCACTTTTTTATGCACCTAACATTACGATCTTAATAAGGCATCCCATGATTTGGTTGACAACCTAAAATTTGCTCTATGGGAAACTTAGTAATGGCATCTATTTAATTTAGTAATTCAAGGAATTCCCAGAAACTTTCTTTGCCATGTTGCAAAACAGCAAAATAATCGTCCATATAAGGAACTTGTTACTTAGGAAAAAGGAGTTTCTCTTGAAACACACGAATTTCTAGTTGGACCATGTAGTTATTTACTAAAATAGGGGCTAAACAAGATCCCATAGCCAAGCCCCATGTCTGCTCATACAACTTACCACTGAAGGCAAAATATGTATTATACATTGACAAATTGACTAATCTAATTATTTAACCTTTGCTTAACTTTTTACCTTATATGATTTCAGGGTGCTGATCTAGAGTTAATTCTAGCGCCTCCATTACCTCGTTGTCGGAGTGCCAGTGTACATGGACACTTCACTGAAACTTGCCAGCAAATTTTCTCCTATCGTCTGATAATTAAGAAACTTAATAAAGTCGTAAGAGTTCTTTAGAGATTTGCTTTAACTGAATAAATATAAATCGTGATATTTTATGCATCACGCCTCCTATATTATTTACAATAACCCATAGTGGAGTATCTTGCTTATGGATTTTGGGCAGAACCTACGAATTTGGAGGGTATAACCTCTCACTGAAAATGTGTGTCGATTTTCAACTTTTCCAGTTCTCCGCTGTTTGCACATTGTTAGGAGACCCAAAAATCGGACATTAAGGCTTTTTATTGGGTTCCCAATTATAGTTTTATATGTTGTATCATAGTCTAATTCTTTTAACCTTTTATCTACATAATCATTCCTGCACAACTACTACCGCTCCTCCTTTGTTTGCCATTATTACTAATTGTCCATTCGCCTGTAGCTTCCTTATAGTAGTATTAACTGTCCTATTCGAATATGGTGTTTCTATATGGCCATCAATTAAAGCGACAAGTTGTAATTCAATGTCACGCCGAGTATCCTCTGGGAAGGTATTAGTCAGATTGATCATTTCTACTAAATTTCCTCTTTTTAAGTCCTCACCATTTGGAAAGGCAAAGTTTAAGCTCTTTGATAGGACCTCAGAAGAAATTTGCAATGAAATTTTGGACAGATTTACAACTTTTTGGCAACGTTTTTCCGTCCCTTTCTTTGAGCCGATTCTTATACCCAAATTTCTTAATTTGTCACCATTTGTCATTATAACCTCTTGTTAAACTTTGTTATGTAACCTATCCGCTATTCTTTGGAGCTTAAGGAAGTCTTACGAACTAAGCGCCTTGTGCAAGATTAGCCTAAGTCTTGTCTTAGTTATAATTAATGAGTCAAGCTTTGCGATGTGTTCCTTTAGTCTAATATACTTCAAAATCATGGTATCCCATTTAGGATTATTATAAATAATAGAGGTAGCGTGGTGCATGCAACATCATGATTTATGTGTACTCGGTTAAAGCAAATTTTCGAAACGTGGAGGTTTTCGGTAAGGAAGTCTTACGAATTTTTAAGGTTATTTAATGATGAGATGATAGAAAGAGGTTATTTGCTGGTAAATTTCGATGTATTGCCTATGACACTAACGTTCCGATTAACGAGGCAACGAAGGCTTTGGAATTAACTCTAGGTCACTATCCTGAAATTAAATCAGGTAAAAAGTTAGACAACGATTCAATCATTCGATTGGTCAATTTTGCAATGCATAATACATATTTTACCTTCAATGCTTAGTTGTACGAGCAAATACGGGGCTTAGCAATGGGATCTTATTCAACTCCTATTTTGGCTAATAATTGTATGGCCCAATTAGAAGTTTGAGTTTTTCAAGAGAAACTCCTAATTTATTTGTTATTACTTGGATGATTACTTGGCTGCTTTGCAACACGACAAAGATAGTTTGGGGGAATTCCTTGAGCCAATAAATAGAATAAATGTTAATGCTAAGTTTACCATGGAGTAAGAAAATGAAAATAAATTGCTTTATTTGGATGTCTTAGTGAGCAAGGAAGGGCATACGTTAGGCAGAGACGTGTATAGAAACCCACACATTTGAGATTCCTTATTAATGTATTCTCCAACCATGCATATGGGTTCAAAATCAATGATAATAAGGAGTCTGCGTCCAGCAGACGTAAAGCACACGGACAAGGGGCTCAGAAACTTGATGCATATATTGTTCTAAAACAATTACCAACTAGGAGGTAATAAGGCTTGCTTTGAATGTGAGAAACTACTAGTAAATCAATTATATAAGACATATCCAGCCAATTTCATTTAAAGTGATGAAGGACTGGTAGTTGAATTTTCCCACAATGATGTGAGTACTCGAAAGTTTTCCATTGAATTCCACATAGCCTTGCTTTCCCAAAAGGTGTTCTCATCCAAGGTGGACTGCAGTCTTATCAACATCCACAGTCGGAGTCGAACCACGACAGTAGAGCGTGTAAGCTCGACACGTCAACCACTACGCCACATTGCCAAGAGTTTCCTTGGATCTCAGGACAGATGTGAACTTTAAAGAAGGTCAGGCATTTTCCATCTCATATTCTGTTTTAAGACTGTCGATGAAGCAAAGTCATATTTGCCATGGCAATCGACGACATTTCTTTTTTCGTAACACACACTTCCATGACTGTCAGTGGGTCACATGGCAGACGTAAATGTCAAGGAAAGCAGGGCCTCCAGAACGATTTTTGATTAGGAGCTACAAACAACCAAGCTGATATAAGATGAAGAAAAACTTATAATTGTCTTTTACCATAATTATACAAGTAACGTGACTACAACTATTATTCAAGAGCTACTGATAGTAGCAAAATCTATTCACTATAAATATACATAACGCGATCCATTCTATTGACAAAATACAAGTTTGAGAGTGAGTAGGTTTTCAAGACTACCAGTAAATCAAATATCTGAGTTGCATTTATCCTGTTTCGTTTAAGGTGATGAAAGATTCGAAGTTGAATTTTCATACAATAATATGAGTAGAGCTGACATTTCCAATGAATTTCACAGAGCCTTGCTTTCCAAAAAGTTGTTTTCATCCAGGGTGGACTGCAGTTTCGACCCCAAGCGGGAGTCGAACCATGAAAAGGCAGCGTTTAAGCTTGACACACTAACCACTACGCCACATTGCCACGAGTGCCCTTGTGTCACAGGTCAGATGTGCATTTCTTGGAAGGTCAGGCTATTTCCATATCACATTCTGTGTTGGGATTGTCGATGAAATAAACTTATATTTGCTATAGCAATCGACGGCATTACTTTTTTCGTTAGTGAGTAGCTTTTCGAGACTATCAGTAAATCAGATATATGGGTTGTATTGACCTTATTTCGTTTAAGGTGATGAAGGACTACTATATCCAAGACCTACTAGTCCTCCATCAAATAAAACGAAATAGGGTGAACACAACTCATACACAAATTTTCGAGTTCTAGCTAACCTAGATCGATTAAAATGATTTAGGACTGATAGTTAAATCCTCCTACAATAATATGAGTTGTCCTCACGTTTCCAACGAATTTCACGTAACCTTGCATTTTAAAAGATTTTCTCTCATCCTCTTATGCAACCTCGGCTGACTAGAACATTTATTTACTATTTACTGATGGTCTGAAAACCTATTTCCTCTAAATGTAAAAAGTAGTGTTTTATGATAGGATGCCATAATTCCTTACAGCTCCTCTATAATTTTTTTGTGTGCATTTGTTTGAATAAGCTTATACTCTGAACGGCATGATTCAAGAATATATGAGAAAATTATGTCCATGATGAGCTCCGAGCAAGCTTAAAATTGCGGTATAGCTTAGATAAGAGAACCTTTTTACAAAAGAGGCTATTTGAAATTCATTGGGAACGTTGGGCCTACTCATCTTATGCGATTTAGAGTGACTAAGTCTTTCGTCCTTTCTGGTACTATAAGCTATGCATAGAAGACCCGTTGATACATATAGGTTATGATATACGGTGCTGCAAATGGAAAGTTCAGCAGAAGAC